AATCCCCTACTAGATGTGACGCAATTCGTGATATTAGCGTGTAAAATTCTCAGAATTCTCAAAATTTTCTTATAAAATTTCTGAATCTATAAAATTCTCAAAATCTTTTATTATCTATAAGAAATGACCGATATACTAACACCATCTTTTCACATATATTATTCAAAACAACTTAACCAGCTTTCTCATTCTATCAAAATAGATATATGGCGATGTCTTACTTCACAAAAACATCCATTATCAATAGAACAGGCAAGTAGTATCCATCCTGAAGTGGAAGATTTGTTAAATAAGGTGGTTGGAAATTATATTAAGCAAAAAGAGCGTCAAAAGATGAAACCCATTACTAGCGACTGTGAAACTTCGTTAAGGCAGGAAAATGAGAAATTGTGTATATCAAAGCAGGTATTGGAAAAGAAGATTGAAGAGCTTCTTGACTTGAAAGAACAATATAAGTCTCGTGAGGTAGCTATGACCAGGTCTTTGGAAGAGAGTGGTGGGAAAGTCGCCCAATTATCAGATTCAGTAGCTTTCTTCAAAAGTATAATTCCTGATACGAAAAAAGCTATTGCATCAGCTGAAAAGTCCATTGACCTATTAGAGAATAGATGCCAGAATCTAGATGATATTATTTCTGTTAAAGTTAGAAAAATTATTGCTTTTGTTGATCAGATTCTTTTCAAAACGAAGCATAATGATGTGAATATAGAACTGGAAATATATTCTAGCACTCATGAAAGGAAATTATAGGCAAAAAAGCGTAGCGAATCTGAATATGATCTAGAAGTTCAGAAAAAATATACATTTCAGGATTTGGCAGGTAAATGATTATCTGAGGCAATTGATTATCTGGAATAGCTAGTTAGAAGTATTGCCCAATGATTCGATTTCTCTTTTCAAGTTGAGCAGAGTGTTCCATCAAAGTGAAAAAGATTCAGATCTCAGTTTATTTATATCAATGACCACAAATTCCTTTTATCTCAAATAACCATTGAGGACCTTTGAAGCTTTGTGCGGATCAGCATTTGTATAAGAACTTATAATGTCAGCAAGTTTTTAAGTTGAACCTCTACCACTGAAGAGTACAATATGCGTTGCATTTTCATGAATATTCATAGGAATCCTGTGAAATTTTTGTGAGACATAAATAGAAGAAATATCCTCGTGATGACCTCTACTAAAATATGGAATAATTTTTTTCTGTATAACTGGAGGGTCTGAACAGATATCCTCAAATATCATTAGTGTACTTCTTTTAACATTGAACTTTTTTGATCTGGAATTTTATCAGAAGTAAGTGTAGAGAATGTGATATCTTCATAGTATAGCTTAGATTCAGCATAATTAATTAATACAAATAGATAAATGAAAAGTCCAATTTTTTTATCAGATAAAGAATTATTAATCAAAATTTATATAAAATTGTTTGAATGAAAAATATATAATACAATACTATTATCTTATTTAAGTTTACTAGACAAAATCAAGAGTTTAGACAGACGTCTAAATGGTAAAAGTAAAACTTGGTTAAATTATATTAAAACCTTATTAAAAAATTTGCGAAATTTGGAAAAAGGTAAAACTATATCAAAGCTTATAAAAATAGTGAAACTATATCAAACACTTAGTAAAAATTTAGCGAAACTAAAGGTTTAAACGTTTTGCTAAATTCAAAATGAGTTTAGATAAGCAACCTTAGTCTTATTTATTAACATTAAGAATATCATATTTTAAAAGAAAATATTATGACTGATATATTAATTCAAAAAGTTGATCATAGTATATAGTATCAATTTCAAGTGATAAAAATTTGCTTTAGAAAATATTTGATTCCTGACTGTTTTTTTTTAGCATGCTTTGGATCTTGAATTCTAATAATAGTTTATTATTATATATTAGTATCTTAAAGTGAATGTTATAAAAAGAATCTTTATAATCAAAAAATTTGAGGTTTTATTTATAATAATTGACTATGCATTAAATTCTGATCTAGTACTATCAGCTTTAAAACTTAAGATATTCAAATTTGTAATATATACCATTCTAATTACTTAACATATCAAATATACAATTTGTTTAGTTCCTTCATTACCTTTATAGAATCATTGCTATAATTATTGGTGAAACTTGATTAATGATTATTTTTTAAAATATAATTAATTTAGGATTTATATTTTTATTTACTTCAATACTTTGTTTCTGAATGTAGTAAAATTGATCCTGCAATATATTTAAATTTTTTAGCATATACAAGTTTTACTTGTAATTTGTATAATCTGTTATAACTATAATTAGTCTATTTAATACTTGAAACAATTTGTGAAAATTTTATAAAGTTTTTATTATTAAATCAGGATTAGTAATTATAATGGAATTTGTTTTATAAATTTGTTTATTTTTAAAAATTTAATAATTATTAACTTATATAATTATAATAAAAAATATTTAAATAAATAAATAATAATTACTAAATTCTTTGAACTAAAAGTCTAGCAAAAGCTTTTTTAAAATATTTGATATTTACAGTTACTTTTAGATAATAAACTAAAAAAATGATTAAATACTTAAAGTATCAAAGTTCTTTTAAATTTTTACCCTTTAATATGTTTTTAACTTATACTATTAAAGCTATAAGTTTAGTAAAAGTGTTATCTTCATTAAATACTTTATTTTTAAAAATGCTCGTTGAAACTTGCTCAAAATAATTTTATCATACCCCTTTCTATGTTTTTAATATAATTTCAGCTAATTTCAGGTTTCAGGATAATTAGCTAGTAATGTATATATTTAATATATTTGATTTAAAATTTGCTATATCAAGGGTTTAATATATTAAAGATTGACTGTAATGCATTTTTAACATTTAACTAATTAAATATGTTAAATATACCTTTTTATAATAAATCTGTTAATTAAATTTTTAAAAAATTTATAATAAATTGAGATTTAAACCTTAGGATTTGTTATATCAAGAGTTAACTGTATTAAATTAAAAAAATCTTTATAGTAGTAATTTAAAAAAAATTTTTTTTGAAAAGATTATTAGAAAAATCAGATTTAAGAATTTTTTTTAGAATCTATTATTTTTAACAATTTTTCCATTTATTATATTTTATAAAAATTTATTATAATTGATTAATAAAAGATTTATTTTTAAAAAATAATACTTATTATATATTTATAATATTTGAATAAAAATCATTAAAATATTTTAAAAAAATAGGATATTTATTTTTTCAAATAATAAGTAATTTTGATAATCTAATATAATAAATAGTATTATAAAACTATTTAAAACTATTTAAGTTTAATAATGAATTATATAATTAAAAATCAAGTTTAAATAAGATTATTTTATTATATAGATTATTAAGCTTATTTTATAAATTATTTTAAATTATTTAAATTATAAATCTTATGATTATAATATAATATTTATTATAATTATTATATAGTATTTTGATATTAAAAATTATTAATTTATGCCGATTATAAAATTGGCGGGTTCTTATAACGAAAATTCTCACGTGACATCTAAGAGTTATCAAAAAATTATCCATTAACGTAAATTCTACAAAATATATAATATCGCAAATTGATCAGCCAAATTTGTATTTGGGCATTTTTGTACATGAACATAGGCCATGACAAATGGCAGATCAAAGGCTTACCCCACACTGCTTATCTAGAACCCGATTTTTATCCAAAAGAGTATAACCAAAGAACATTTTATATTTTAATTAAAAAAAAATTTTTTTTAAAAAATCTCTCGGACATCCCTAAAACATCTTTTTCCTTTTTTTTTTTTTTTTTAAAAAAAAAAAAAAGGAAGGAATGCTTTTCTAATCCAAACTAAGTAGTTCATTCATCATCCATTATTACTATTAATTGCATCGCATAATCCAACCAGAGAAAAGTCTATATCAAATAACAAATTCTCACGACATATTTACAAACAACATTAAAACAATGGCGCAAAAAAAAAAATAACTTATAAATTCAGAAAGATCGCTGTAAAATGCACGTCAAAACGGTGTCAGACAGTTTTAAGGGGCGTTTAAAATTTATTGTTACGTAATAATGAATTTTTTTAAGATTTTAAAATTTTTATGATTGGATATTTCTCTATGCATGATGAGGAAAAAGTAAGTAGTAGGCTGTGCTCATGTATAATGCACATTTTTTTTTAACAATAAGAAAGGGTTCAATTTTTTTTTTGAGAAATATCAATCACATTTGTCTCGTTTTAAACAAAATTTACTGTAACAAATAAATACTTAAATATCTTTGTTCTTTCAAATCAATGAACCTTAAATCCATAGATCTACAACAATGGGGAAAAACAATTAAGGAAATAGCAAAGTGACCAAGCAAATTCGTTCAAAATTTTTTACTGCGAATATTTAATGCAAAGTTTAATATACATCAATAAAACTATATTTGGGATCAGAAAACATGTGACTGGTCGGTTAATCAAAAACTTTCGATTTGAAAAAAATTTGGCGATGAATCAAATCGTTTGGTGGATTTTAACAATTGCAAATCTCGATTTTTTCACACACACGCATATATTAAGTAAGAACATAAAAACATGCAGTGTTACGTACACATATGATTTAACTTAGTTTTATTATTAGGTGAAATTTAGGTGAAATTTAGGTGGGATTTAGGTTATTATTTTTTATAAATTAGAACTAATCTATGTTCTTGAATTTGACAGAAAAAATTTTAAATTAATTAATATTAACCTGTGAAACAAACAAAATCCCTTAAAAAAACAATGAATATATAAAATCAAGGTATGACTTTAATGACTTCATTAACAGGTGATATAACATGATTTTAATTAAATTATAAATTAATGTTTTTTGTTATAATTAAAATATTTATTAGTTTCGTCGTAAGGGAAATTTTGCAATGTACTTAAGCATTATAGAGTTATTTCGAAAATGTTTTGACATTTGATATTTTTCGCTAATTCTCAAAAAAGAAATTTGTGATCAAACTCGGAATAATTTTCTGGTCGTTAACGTAATCCTGATAAAAACCATAGATGACATCCAAGGTGAAACGTCAAATATCATAACCTCATTGATTTGGCCAAGTGTAGCGATGCGCTTACTTATTTGATGGTAAACATCGTATGAGTTCATTGGATCAAAATTTTCATTTTGAACAGGATATTGCTGTCACGTGATTACCAAAGCCGTATGGGCCAACGTGGGCTAACGCCAAAAATCAGTCTCAAGCCGATCATTTCGTGTTGACACGTGACAGTCATGTTGGTTTTTTTTTTTTTTTTTTTTTGCGCGAATGATATCTTTACGGAAAACCTGAAAAATTTTTAGCCTGATATTTTTAGTTCAACATTTTTGGTTATCTTTTCCGCCATCCTAAAACAATGTTTGTATTGTTTATTTTATTTTATTTTATTTATAAATTTTTTATAGTATTATAAATTGATAAATGAAAAAAACTTGATATATCCACAAATATACAAATTACCCTTTTTTTTTCAGGTTTTTTTTTGTTTTCGTCATAATTACATTTCAAAATACATTAATGTATATTACAACTTTTTTGTTTACATTTTTAAAATATTTGTTTTTTACTTAAAGTTGATTGTTTACTTTTGATAGAAAACATCCAAGGGAAACAAGAAAATACGCGAGAAAATCCACGATTTTGGAATAGTTAATTTCATTTTCACACGCTCTATAACATTGGTTTAATTTTAAAAAAAAAAACTGATGTCATATCACGAAAAAAGAGATGATTAGTTTTTTTAAGAATTTCAATGAGAAAATCTCGAAGAGGGCTTATTATTTACATTAAAATGTGCCCAGCAAAACTAGATTTATTCCTTTTAAAGTTCCTTGTACGATTCTATAATTTCTGATTAGTTTTTTTTTAATTAATTCGGAGTCATTTAAACTTTTAAACCTGGTTCATTAACAAGAAATCGTATTGGTTGATCGACTTTGAAAATTACTTATGACAAGTGTAAAGATCATGAACTTTTCTCGGTATTTCTCGTTAAAAAACTGGGAAAAAAGGACTTCCAAAGTTAAGGTTCTATGTTACGAATTAGATATTAGGTGTATTACCTAGTCTAATATGAATGTGTGTAATTCGCAGAGTAAATGCTGGCCGATGATTCTCCCAAATAAAAACAAGCTTCACGAGAAGAAAAGGATATCTTTTTTTTTTAATTATTTTTTAATAAAAAAATACATGATTTTGCGTGCCCGTAGTTTCTGTGTATTTAAAAGAGGGTGCTTTTTTTTCCACAAAAAGGCACACGAATCGATCCGACTACTGACCCCTGTTTAACGATTATTTCGATATCCTTTTATGGGAAAATAGGGATCCATCGTACATTGTTTTTTTTATTATTATTATATTTTTCATATTAACATTAAGATATAAACCAAACTTTTAATTAATTTTTGGTTAATTTTTTATTTCTCTCTTTTTTTTTTCTCTGGACAATGATTTTTTATTAATTTAGATTCGAATCATAATCCACCCAATTAGAAATCAGTACTAAAAATGTTATATTTTAGCCATAATAGTCATACCACAATGAATAATTTATATCTCGATCATAAACATATTATAAAAAAATATTTTTCATGTGTGATTTCTCTGATACAGAAATTTGTGTGTACGAATTTGGGTAAATTCGTGTTTTATTCTTTATGTTCGAAAAAAATATATAAAATTAATTATGTTTAAAAAATCATCAAATAGAATTAATTATGTTTATTAAATAGAATTTAATTGGTGAGTCTCCCGTAGAACATTAAGGTTTTACGGAACTTTTGATATTCCTTAAAATATAAACGTTGGAAAAAAATTCCCGAGTGTTGTGGGTAGGATGTTTGTTACTATAAAAGTTTTTGTGAACCTTTTTTTTTTTTAACCTCATTCATTCGTTATAAAGAAAAGCAAGAAACGTTGCATTTTTTTTTGCCGGTTTGACAATAAAAAGGGAAAAACGTGTTTTTTTAGGTTTCAATAAACAATATTAAAAATTATTTTTTCATTGGGTGAACAAGGGTGGCTTTGACTAATTATAGTAAAATTTATGGGATCTCATGTGAAACTGGTTTATTATTTATATTTATTTTAGTTTATTTTTTTTTTTTTTGTAAACAAGCTTTATTTATGTGATTACAAATATTATTTTTTTAAAGGAAAACGTTTTTTGGTATAATGGGTAATTAAAAAAGTTGTATAAATTAAGTCATTTAATCTTTGTCATCAATCAATTTGTTGCACCGTGCAGACTTTTGGTAATCAAAAGAAAAAAGATTTCATCTCCTAAAACAACAAAAATCATGAGAAAATGTTGAAAATGTTTAAGGGATTTTTTTGTTTATATTTCTAGCACGCCATCATTGTATTTATTATGTTATAAAGTAATTACAATGTATAAAATGTTCTGTTTTTTAAAAGAAATGTATATTTTTTTTTATTTACCGTTGTTATCCAAGTACAACAAGTACAAACAGATTTTCAAAAAAAAAAAAGAAAAGAAAAAAAGTAAAGGAATGGTGTCAAAAGGAAGTCCATGGAAAAAAAAAAGGTTACACTTTTCCATTGTAAAAAACGAATGATTTCACAAAATGAAATTGAATGAGAAATAAAAAAAATAAATATGTATTCAAGGAATCATCTACCACGCCATCAATCACACAAATAGTAAATAAAATATTTTAATAAAAACAATTCATAAATATGGTTTGAAGCGATTGGGTGCATCGCGTCAATCCTTTCGGATGTAGGGTTTTTCTCGTTTATTTTGTATTTATCACACAAAATGACAAACTTTTCAAAGTTCGCACACAAAAAAGCACTTTCTCGTGCACGGATCATACTGTCACCTGTTATTGTCGAATCAGGTTTAATAATAAAAAAAAAAACATTAGCAAATAATTACAAACTTAAACGTTTCTACCATTTTGTAAAAAGGAAAAAACTTCCCCGAACATGATAATTTATTTCAATCTTTTTTTACTTTAAAAAATAACAAGTTGAAAGAAGTTAAATTTAGAAAATTCCATTAATTAAAAATGCCAGATATAGCGAAGGGGCTTTGGCGGCGCAGCCGAAATTCCGTGAGCGTTTAGCACCGGGTTATATTCATTTTAATTTGAATAATAATAATATATTTAGCGAATTTAATTACCGAACCTTTTTTTTTTTTTTTTTTAAAAAAAAATAATAATAAAAAACAAATATACAATAAAAAAATAGAATTTCATTTTTTTTAATAGAAGGAAATAAAATTTTATTCCAAGATTTACCAATATCTATTTTTTTTTTGTTTTTTTTTTTTTTTTTGCTGCTCCCTTGATTGGTACTTCTTTATCAAACACCAAAAAGGCATGCCGAGTTATCTATCCACTTGGGCGTTAAATTTTTGGAGTAATTACATTTGAGTTTAAGCCGAGAATAAATTTGGGTGATTTCAGGTTATGTGTTCTTTTTTTTTAAAATAAAAAAAAATGGATGTGATTTCCGATGACGCGATATGGGGTGTACCCCTTTGTTATTTTTGTAATTAAGGTTTGTAAAAAAAAATGTAATTAATCAAAATTTAATGGATATCAATTTAACCTAATTCTATTTTTAGGTAAAACTAACCTTAACTTTAATTGCTAGTTTATTCCTAAGTTCTTTTTTTAAATATTGCTTGCTAATATAACATTAAAGTTTGTTGGGGTGTTGTATACTCACCTGGACGTCAGAATCGGTGAAATTGGTGAACTTTTATCCCGGTGAACTTGTGTTGAACAAAAAAAACCGGCTTACATGGAATATACATGGTCGATAAATTAATGATGTGATCACCACGCCAAGAAAACCAAGCAAAGAAAGAACCGATTTATAAATGCACAAAATAAAATTTTCATTAATTAATTATGCCCTTTGTCTTTCCATTTTAAGGATCTAGAGGGTGTTTGAATTAATGCTATAGTAAAAAGTCGAGTTGTCACGTGATAATCCGCCAAACGAATCACATTTCTGCGGAACGAAAGGCAATTTTTTTGTGGCTGTGCGAACTTGAATTAGCAAGATTTATTTCATCTCAATCTTTTTTTTTTCTCACTCTTTTTTTTTTTTTTAATAAAACTTTTTACATTTAATTTCTGTATAAACAAACATTCAATTAAAGGAATTTAACATTAATCTTGCGCCCATATTAGCTAGTCAGAAGGATCCCTTCTTTTTAGGAAGAAAAAAAAAAATAATGATTACCGAACAATACAATCGCGCTTGGCCTTGTAAAAAAAAAAAAAGTAAATAAATAATAAATAACAAAAAAGATTTTTTTTTCGATGTAGTAAACAATTAATTTCAAATTTCAAAAAAAAAAAAAAAAAAAAAAAAAAAGAGTTCGTTCATTAAGTCATCATTACGCAAAGAATAAAGTACTTTTTTTTTACCATTTTTTTTAAAAAAAAAAATATTGAATGGAAATATTTTGTGTGAATGCGCGAGCGAGAAAAAAAATTTCTGTGCGACAACAAACAGGCCAATCATCCTCCATATGGTGTCACTGTCCAAAATACTAGAAATTATTTATTTATTTAATTTTAATACAACAATGAAACTCGTGCTAGTTCATCATTAAAGGTACTCATAATGGGATAAATATTTACACTTAAAAAACAAAGAATTTATATTGTCGAATTACAATATCACAGAAATAAAAAAATGTGACTAAAGGTCGAATGCAGCGATGTCCCTCGTGAATTTTTTAAATGAAATTCTAATAGGTATAGTTCAATCACACATTTTGATCTTTCATTTCATTTCAATCTTCATTTTACAATAATGAAATAATTTCTTTTTTAAAAAAAAACAAGTTTAATTTCTTGATAGAGTTATATGAATTATTAAATTTATATTTGTTCTTTGAGTTGCTCATGGAATTAAATTAAATGTTTATTTGATTACTCTCAATTGGTTCTTCATTCTCCATTTTCATTTATGGCTTATGACCCCTCTTATAATTGCAAAAGAAGGACAAACTTTAAAAATTCAAGTTTGATGCCACTTTAAATTAAAAAAAAAAGTTTATTTATTAATTAATATATTTTGTTTATTACCAATTACAATAATCGTTGTTATTAAAATCAATTTCATTTAGGAAGGTTGGCTTTTTGTTTAATACAATACAACTTATTATTATTCCGTCAATTATATTGTACTATAAAATTTTGTTTGTTTGTGTCGAATTGCGTGCGTTCCCCTCTCTCTCCTCTTTTT